AACAACCTCCTCCCGGCAATGTTTTAAGGGCAAATCTGGAAAAAGGGGAAAAAAAAAAAAAAAAAAAAAAAAAAAACTCAGGGTAAACACACGCATACACACTCCAAGCCCCTGGTCACACAAAGATTTATATGATTTTAAACCCCAAGAATGTTTTAAAAAGGGATGTTTTTTCTGTTTCTTCCCAGTCCTCATCTATTTGGGTTACTCTGGTAAAGTAGCCCAAATAGATGACTGTAATGTGAGGAAGCTTTTTCTTTTACCCTGGTTGTTAATGATGTGAAAAACATGTCTATTTTTAACTTCTCCTCAAGAGAGGAAAGAGAAGAGAACAAGCTATTTTGTATTAATCCTCATAAGTTTTTTTTTTAATATTCAGTGATGAAACTTTAATCAATAATCCTTTTTTTTGTTCTTTCTTTCTGCGGTACAAATGTGACAATTAGGCCCATTTTCTTAGACACAGTTCAACACAATGAAAGACAAGAACATGATTTTCAAAAAACTACAATTTGTCTGGATCTTTATTTACATTCAACAAACTAGAATATTATTGAAAAGTCAGTTTATTACACTGAAACACACAGATGAATGTTTGAACCTTTGTTTCTGTTCACTGTGATTATTTTCCACGTGTAGTTAACAAAAATATAACATTTGAAATTAGAATATTACATTTGACCCATTTAAAAAGTATGTTTAACACCCGCTTAAAGGTACTTTTAATCTGACAAATGACCCTCGTTGGAGCCGATATTCTGCGTTATTGTTATGACTGTCTGGCATTTTTCACTGTGATATTATGCAGCTGTGATTAATGACTTCCTGTCAAAGCTTTCACCTGCCTGTTGCTGTTTTTTTGCCCATGTCTTTTGTCTGGTTTGATCTCCTCAGAGAGCAGTTCCTCAAAACCAACGCTCAGCTCACCTTCCGCTGTCGTCAGCTCCTCTCTGAGCTCTCCTACATCTACCCCATCGATGTGGTAAGTCTGCCGCCTCATGCTCCTATTCTACACCTTTCCCATTCATTTTATGTATTTTTTTTTGTCCTGTGTCCAGTGTGGCACTCTGAATTTTTGACACCTTGTCAAGGTGAGGCCCAACAGATTTACTTTCACAAGTGGAGCATTGCAGCTTTTTGCCACGGTGGTCCACTTGATGCGTTAATAAACTTAATTAGAAATTGCTTTAGGTTTATTTTCAATGTAGTGGACACAGAGATAGAAAAGAAATGGAGAAAGGTGTGGGAAAGAGAGATAAGAGGAGAGAAGGAAAAGTAGAACGCATCCTAGGAGTTTGTTTCTACACCTGCAGAAAGAGAGGAAAAAATAAAACAGACCAGACGTAGCAACAACCACAATATCCATATGTGCTACACTACTATGTCACTTAAAAATACACAATATGTATTTTAAATGTCTTGGCTTACCTCTATGCTACTTCTCCCTTCATTTTAAACACGTCACGTATTCTAATCATTGCAAACGTCATGAAAAGGATCCAGTTCTCGAGTCTCTGTTGAGTCCGGTCCTCGGTCAGCACCGATCAAGCCGAAAATTGTCACCAGCTGATTTCTTTGTGCGTCTCCGAAGACGGAGTAATAATCACATTTAAAACAAAAAAAGCTCTGGAGAATGTTTTTTTTTTTTTAATGTGCCTTCTCCCCCTCAAACCCCAATTTGTAGTCCAAAATAATGTCTAATTCCCTTTAATGTCCGTTTCACAGTTCACATTTCACTGCTTTCAGAGATCATCCAGAGTCCTCACATTTCTGTCGATTCCTCACAGACTCATTATAATCACTCAGTTTTGTAAGATATTTGGCTCTGGAGTTTAAACGCTGGAATGCGGACACCACAAGACAATAACCGGATGATTTACAGCAAATCCATCTGCCAGCTGCGCACCGTTTCCTCACGCATGATCCCTCGTCTTGTGTGGGTCTGTTTCTGCTGGCTGCTTGTTGTCCTTAATATGAAACCTCCTATTTAAATCCGCAGGTCAATCAGTCGGATTATGTCATCTGTGGAGTGAAGCTGCCAAACTCGGACGACTTTCAAGGTAATTTAGTACGTGTCTGTGTTTGTGTTTTGGGTTACAGGGAAGGAAAAGCATGCAGGACAATTTATTTATCTTCTCTTTAAAGCTTGCGAAGGTGGATCGATGTTTACTGAAGGATCTGGAACGTTCCACCGCTGAAACGCCTCGCTAAAACTGATAATTATACCTGAACCCTGGCGTGTGTGTCCCGCTTTGGACACAAAATAAGTCGGATGGCGATTTTTATTATTATTTATTAGGTCAAATCATGGAAACATAGGGAAGTGTGGCTTTATTTTTGTGTTTTAGTTTTATTCAGACGTGCCTGTGAAAGTTAAGTGGACCTCACCTGGTTCCAATGAGAGCTCGGTTAATTCAGTTCTTTTCCAAATACGCTGTGTGGGTTCATTTGCTCCCTTAAGTTCCTTCGTGCGTTTTGTTCTTCTCGTTATTTTCTCTTCTCTTTGCAAAATCATAATAACTGGAAAGAAATAATCCAATATTTTCCCATATTTTTTTTTAGCTTTGGAGTTACAGAAATAAAGACAAAGAAGGTGACTCCATACTGAGTTGGACAAAATAAAAACAAAGACTGGAAGGAATTTATTTTGGGGATCTTTAACTCTGACAATAATTGGGAGTTTTGCGCTCCAGACGGCTTGAATTTGTCAATCTGGTTCGCCTAAAAACTGAGGTCTTGGTTCGATTGAAGTGAATTCTGTGAACGCCAAGTGGAAAACGCTCCAAAAGCAGGAAGCGAACCATAGCGCAGGGCATTCTGGGTAAATACAGCCAAAACAAACACGCGAGTCTTAGCGTTGGCGGGAGAAATACTGTGCCAGAGACAAAAGAGAAATCCTACAGCCACTAAAATCTGACGCCACTCAATTTTTGTTTATGCTTCGTGAAGGAGGAAGTTGACCTCGGCGTCTTCTTCGGTAGTTCTTGGTGCAGCGCCACCACAGGCCAGGGACTAACCGGGTTTTTAAAGAGTTTGCTTCGTTTGGTTCAGTCCGGTGTGAAAGTAAACTGCAGCAACTGAAAACGTAGCAAATATTGCAATTTCAGTCTTGAATCAAACCAAGTTTGTGGGACTATCAGGTGTGAAAACACCCCGAGTCGAAGGCTCCGACCATGTGGGGACGATTTTAAGTTTATCCATGAAAGTTTTTTGCCGCTCAGGCTGATCCGTGTAAATTATTGGGATAATTGTGAAGGGAAAGGAAGTGGTTATGTTTTGATGCCAAGAAAATCTGAAAGGTGTGGTGCGCATGTGTATTAAATTTGTTAAAGAAAAAAAAAACTTTCAGATGTTAACTAATATTTTGCATTTGCGTCAAAGACTCCTGACATTGAGGTGATAAACGGAGTAGATGCGCATGTGGATATTTTCTGAACTGTAAGCGGTACTTCTGGGCTCTGTACCAGAACAGCATCTCATTTGAGACGCTCATGGCGAGTTTGAAGGATGGGAATGTCACTTTGGTGCTGGAAAAGAGCCCGGATGTACCACTTACTCTTTGGAAATTATCCAAATGTTTATCTCTTAAATTTATCCGTAGAGAACATCTGTTGATTTGTTGGAAATATCAGACTTTCTTATTTTAGTAAACTGCTGAACTCGTTTTCTTTTAAGTGAAGAAGTTAAGATTTTTTAAAATTTAGCCTTTTTTTGTTTTGTTTAACAAGACACTGAGGAAGGACAAGCCTTCATTGATTCAGACTCTTAAATGCTCATGGTTTCCTCGTCATGTGATGTTTGTATGTCATTATAAAGAAGTGGAACCAGAGTACATGTTGACATTTTTTTTATTTCTCTTATGTAAAGCAAGTTGGCCTGTTCTTTGGTCTGAAATTTTTACCCCCCAGTTTTTTTTTTTGTTTTTTTTTTTTTAGACCCTTTTAAAAGACAGAACGTTAGAAAACATTTGCCGAACTGGGATTTTTTTTTTTTTACTTTCTGGCCCCGTATTTTGTACAACTTCCCAAACATTTCTCCCACATGAGCGCGGCCGCTCATCTTCCCTCAGATACTCTGTTTCAAAGTCGCCTTCTGTTGGTTGATTATGCATTTTTTTTTTCTTTTCAGTTTGGATTCATACTTTGCGGACATCATGTCAGTGCAGTTCATTTCCCCATGTAACAGAACACCAAAACAAAGCAGACAGCGATGCACAAAGCTTTGAAGTGTTGGCCGGAATAAAATACCTTTTTTTCCTGACTGTGAATAAATGCGCCGCCGCCTCGGGTTTGGATTCGCTTTGCTCGACGGCCTCGGAGGCTTTGATGTGTTAATGTTGTCTCTTTAAAAAGCGGATGAATTAACAAGTCTGAGTTAAATCCTGTTTGTGCCGCAGCAAAGGACGATGGGAGCGTGGCGGTCGCCCTGGGTTACACGGCACACCTGGTCCTGATGATCTCCTGCTTCCTCCAGCTCCCTCTCCGGTACCCGGTGATCCACAAGGGTTCCCGCTCCTCCATCAAGGACACCATCACTGACAGACTCTCCGAGAAGGAGAGAGAGTAAGTTGGAGAGAGTAAAAAAAATGAGTCTGGAGAACCACAATTGACTATTGACGTTTGATGTATGTGATGAGGAATGGCATTTATGTGAAAACATGTGAGATAGAAACCATTTTCCAGAGCAGAAGGAATGTTCTGGAATGGATCCCGTAGGTGGTCTATTAAATGTAGGACATGGCTCTCACAGGGACCTGCGTCTTGCCTGGACAGAATATCCTGTCAGCAGTCGCTGCGCTTTGCGTCATCATCTTCCTTAAAGATCCAAATCTTTATGCCTGAATTATTTTTCTGGATGGTTTCTTTGAGTTCGCTTCCAAAGTTCCCGCTGAGCCCAAAGAATCCACGATTCTGTCAGTAAATATTCGCACAGAATTTACAAAAAAACTCCTGTTTTTCTGTAGAGAGAATGTTGCTTCTTTTTTATATCCGTGAGTGAGTGTGTGTGCGTGCGCGTGTGTGTGTTGTTTGTTGTTTGTTGAAGGGCTATTTCTCCCTTTTAGCCTCACAGACCCAAAACAGAAAACAGTCGATATTTTGTCTCCAGTTCAGCGGTTTTCACTCTTGGAGCTTTTTTTTTTTTTTCCAACTTACATAAAAATAGTTGGATCCATTTTATATAAATGCCACAAAACACACACACACAACAAAAATCCAACTGATCTGGCTCTGATTGCCTAGAGTCCTTTCTTCCACCTGAGATCTTTCTGTGGCTACTCTGAAACCGAGTGGCGTCTGGTTATTCTTGACAATCTCTGCTCCATGTCTCATTCAAGTTTGGCTCAATTTTTTTTTTTTCTAAATTTGTCCCCCAAGAAATCTCTCTACTCCTGTTGATCTCTCTGGGATTGCTGTTGTAGCTTCTGGTTTCAGTCAGTTTTTGACCTTTTCATCCAGAAATGTTGGGAATGAAAGACTTTACAGATCAGATCTAACAAACACTGACCTTCTTCAAGCAAAACGTATTAGATCCTCACTTCAACGGAAAAACTTAATGCACTTTTAAATGCAACTGCATTAAAAAAATCCCAGATTGTTACTTTGAAATATGCCACATTTTCTTTTTTTTTTTTTTTTACTATAAAGACTTTTTTTCCAGTTCAAAATATGCAGCAACTGATCATTAAAGTGGACATATTTTTATTTTTGTCATATACTGTTGATTTGATATAAATAGAGAAACCACTCGGCTCCTTCAGACTAGCAGCAGCTGCAGTTAGCCAACTGCTGCTTGCTAACTACTGAGTTCAACTCTCCGAAGAACATTTCTAAAAGGTAAAATGAGAAGCATCGTTGTGATGACAAGTTGAAGGCGGAATGTCGGAAAAAGCAGGAGCTTCTTAAAGAGACAGAAGCCCAATTTCACGCTGTCAAACTTTTAAATCAAATTTCTTTGAAGTTATGTTTGATATATACGGCATTTTTGTAACAACTGAGGGTAAGATACTTTTTCGATTGTGCTCCCTATGTGCCTTGAAGATATGTGGTAATGCCCCTTTAAGGTATGCGCAGCTGAAATATTTCATGCTAGTTTATAACTCAACATTTTGCCCTTTTTTAATCGACTTCAACTTGGGTATTGTTTTGTTTTTGGTAGGGCGGCTTTGGCCAGGAGACACGTCTTTGGCTTCAGAATCCCATAATGGTGACAAACCACCTAATTGCACGAAGCAAACATCCTGTGAATAATCTTTGTTTTACAATCCGACAATAAATTTTTTCAACCCAATAAAATAGATCTTGTGGGATCAAGTGTAATCATGGCTGTTTAGCTTTGGTTGCGGCGACTCAGGATGCTGATTATTTGTTGATCTAGAACCCCCTCCCCCCCCAAAAAAAAAAAAAAAAAAAAAATTTCCACAGTGCTGTCATATAAACTATCAGGGGGGATTTTTCCTTTTTATACAAACATGTACAGAGTTGTAAATTGCTCGTCTTCTCTGATTATGACAGCAGATGGACTGAAGTCAGACGCCGAAATCTTTTGGTTTGGCTGTGAAACGCTACAAAATCCTATCGTTTAGAGGAAGCACAGCCTCTTTGTGTTCAGGTTGAATTAGTAACTCTGGTTTGATTTTTACAAGCAGTTGTAGCTAAAGTGTGGCCCATTTATCTTGCGTCCAATTTTTCCCTCCATTAAGTAGTTATCTGCTGTTTCTCTGTCCGTTATTCGAGTTGAAATAACTTGGCAGAACGCAGTTCAGCTGGAAATGTGTATTTACTTTAATCCACATTTGTTTAGTGTGAAAGCAGTTGCAGACATGATTGTATGTTTGACTTGAGAAATTTTTTCTGAGCCCTTAAACATGAAGAAGAAGAAAAAAAAACTATTTTATGCTTAGATGGACTGGGAAGGCCAGACTGGTTGTCAGCAGAGGTGAAAAATTGAGACAGGTGTCAGATATGGGCCGTGCAGTAAAAAATGTAACTTCGGCACAGTGTGTCTACAGCCAATCGGTTGAGTTCACGAAATCGACGGTGTAATTTTCCCGTACATGATTCAGTGCTGACAGATTTTTGTGATCGAATCGATTCCTTTCCTTCAGACTAGACTAAAGGAATTAGAAGAACACAGTGTTCCTGAAAAGTATTTGCCCCTCTGTTACACTTATAGTTTTCAGATCATTGAATAGATTTTAATATCAGATAAAGAAAGGTGGCCCAATTAGAGAGCATTTAAAAACAGTTTTCAGCTCAGAATTTCATTCATGGAGAGAGAAAAAAGAAGCCTGGGTCATCCTTAAAAGTAATTGCTCCTTAAATCTAAATGCGCTCTGTTACATCCGTGTGGCTAAATTTTGCCTGCTCTTGTTTGCAGAATTATTTAGAATCCACCACATTGAAGGGTTTTCAAACACAAACAACCCACTTAGAGTCTTAAAACAGCATGTTAATCGAATTTAGATCTGGACTTTGACTAGGTGCCTCTAAACCGTTTCTTTTGTCGTCTGTGAGCCATTCGGTGATGGACTTGCTGGTGTGGTTTAGGTTGTTGTCCTGCTGCTAAATCAACTGGAGCTTGAGCATCAGATCCCTAAGCATTAAAGCATCACATTACAACTCCCATGTTTTAAACCAATGGTATGTGACGCTCTTTTTATGAACTAGTTTAGATCAGGGGTGCCCAAAGTCGGTTCTCGAGCTCCTGCATGTTTTAGTTCTCTCCCTGCTGGTAGTAACAACCTTTCCAGCTTGTCAATGTTCTTCTTAGGCCTCTAATGAGCCATTATTTGGTCCAGGTGCGATAAACCAGGGAGAGAACTAAAACATGCAGGATGCCGGCCCTCCAGGACCGACTTTGGAGATCACTGAGTTAGATTTATAGGCCAAGCCAAGCCCAACTCAAAATTTGGGCTGAGTCAGACAAAATGATTTGCTTGATGGTCGGGTCGGGCTTCTGTGCTGCATTCACTAAACCTTCAGCACAGAGAAAATCAAACCAGAATGCATGATATAAAGTTGCATTAAGCTACGCGTTACAGTCTAAATTGAGGAGTAGTTTGACTTGCTGAGGAAATGAAGTAAGGTGCAGAAGTTCATTAGCGGAGCACACTGCACAACCAAAAGGGTAAATCTGCCCCGCTCCGCTCCCATCAGTCACACATCCCAGAGGATTTGCACTCGACTCACCCTTCGATTACGACAAGTGAGAAAATGGACCTGGAAGATGTTAAACAAAAACAGAAGTTGCACTCCTTACTCAGATTATGGTCCAAAAATGAAAGCGGTAAAATCTTAGTTAAAATATGTTGGATTTAGATCAGGTTCGGGTGTATAACTAAAGTTACTTATTTTGGATCGGGCTTGGACGTGATGCCGTCAGCCTTGGGTCAGGCTGGATTTTTTTTAGGCCCTATCCAAACTCTATTATGTTCCCGTTATACAAGATGTAACGGCACACACCTTCTCGCACCGCAAAAACGCCAAATCTTACAAAGCATTTTTTGGTCTGGCTTCTAGTACAAAAATCTTGGCACACTTGAAATAAGACAAAACTAACTTACAAGTAACTTCCAGCAAACTTTAGAAACTTTTTAGTCACTAATCCCTTAATTTTGATGAAAAAGCGCTAGTTCACTTTTAAGATGGAAAAAACGTCTTTTTATATGTGAAATAGTCTCCCAGTGCAGCAAATACTTTTTCATCAATACTAAGAAATATTGTGTTACTTGTAAGCTGCCTTATTTCAAGTGTACTACGATATTTGCACTGGAAACCAGACCAAAAATACTTGGTAAGAATATTTCCCCAAATCTTGGGAATTATTGATAGATTTGTTTTATGCGATGTGACCCTTCACGTTTCTTTGCCTTATTTCTTATTGCTGGATCAGGACCGAAGTGAAAGAGCTGCAGTGCATTCGATGTTTTGGTTTTTTTGTGACCTCTTGGATGAGTATAGAAGAAATAACTGTTTTTTTTTATGTAGGACTAGACTGGCATGAACATTTTTTCCTTCATAACTAAAACCTTTTTGTACTCTCTCGGGTCTGATAGTAAAATTTACTTGAAACATTTAGTCTTACACTTTTTGCACATCATTGTACACAATCTAATGTTACTGTGTCAGAACATCTTTCATGCCACATCTTGGACTTTCATTGCCTGAAGGCAACGGTGCTGCTAACTGTGCCACCGTGCAACTGCCATCCAAATAAAGTACATGTTTATTAGACTTCAGGCCCTTAAAGAGTGCCGGGGGAATTTTCTCCAAACCGAAACCTCTGCAAACGATTCAAACCCTGCTATTTAAGGTCTGAATAACTAGGACTCCAGGACATATGCAGCAAGTATCATCTGAAATGATAAAAGTAATCTTCTCTCCTTTGTAATTTTGATTGCTCAGACACACAGAGATAAACTCTTCTCCTCTTGATTTGTTTTCGTGTTGCCTTGGTAGCAAATTGAGCCTCCCGGTATTCGCGGTCTTTTCAGGTGTTCAGAGATCAGAGCACGTAAATCACACAGCGTGCCTTTTTGACGGTCTTTGCATTGTGCCTTGGG